CCTCTTCCTCCCAAGGGTTGGGATCACAGGCACTCACCACCATGCCTGGCCACTTTTGAGATTGTTGAGACAGGTCTCAACCTGTATCCTAGGTAAGCCTTAAACTCACTGTGTAGACTAGGCTAGCTTTGAATTCCAGACTTCCTACCCAAACCCCTCTCACTTTGAGATTACAAATGTATCTGATGAATAAAGCTTTCCTTTTCTTTTCAGTGACAGAAACAGAGGTAGTTTATCAAGACGTGTTTTAAAGGTACTCCCAAAGGTGGAAGTGGGCTAATGAGCTAGGAACACAGATGCTCATAAGCTGATTTTAGTTGGACATCCCAGCACAAGGAGACAGCGGCAGGTGGATCTCTGTGACACTTCTATTACATTGCATGTATAGATCATCAAGCATTGCTAAATGTTAAACATTTTGTCATTTACTTGGTCTCTCTTTCATAGGGAAGAACTGGGAATTACAGATAACTCTTTACCTCTCCTTAGTTCTCACACCTATTTTCCACCCCTTCCCACTGGCAAGTGTGTTTATAAAGTTGTCTGTGTCCTTTTTGTGTATTTAAAGCATGCATTTGGGCTGGGCCTGAGCTTAGTGGTGGAGTGCTTACCCAGTACACATGAGGCCCCGGGTTGACCAATAACAACAAAAGCTGCATGTACTCATAGACATGTTTGCTGTTTGTCAAGGCTGCACAGGCCACACTTAAGCAATGAAGACATGTTTGCTGTTTGACAAGGCTGCGCAGGCCACACTTAAGCAATGAGTCAGTCAGCCGCATTGCCAGCAACAATGTTCTGCCTTCCCCAGGGCTACACTAACTACCTGTGTTAGAGGAGCTGCTAATGTTATTTATGTAATTATGAGAGTGTTTATACTGATCTTAATTCTTGGTTTTCAATATTGGGGCAACTTGGCACAAATGGGAATTTAGTATGTTATGACATTTCTACAAGAGTTTGAAGACACATTGCTTGTTAACATGCTTTTAAATAGTTTAGATTTTTGACTGATATCAGTGTAATTGCAAGTATCACAGAGTACAGTTCGTGTGTGTGTGTGTGTGTGTGTGTGTGTGTGTGTGTGTGTTTGTGTAGTGTGTGGTTTTGGACTTGTGAGTGCCTGTGTTTGGGGGGTTGGGGTCTGGTATGTGTACACAGAGGCCAACAATAAGTGTCTTCTTCAACAGCTTTCTTATTTTTGAGGAATGGTCTCTCCCTGAACTTGAAACTCACTGATTTGGCTAACTTGGCTAGCCAGCAAGTCCCAGTGACTAATTTTGGTTTCCAATGGCAGAATAAACTTTTATATTAAATATAGCAATTGTGGGACTGGAGAGATGGTTCAGTAGTCAAGAGCACTTACTGTTTTTCTAGAGGACCTGGGTTTGATTCTCAGAACTCAGTGAGGGATCCTGTTGTGTAGAGATTACATGTGTGTGCCTTGATGGCTTTTTATATATGCTTGGAATTAGAACTCAGGTCCTCATGTTTGCATGCCCAAGTGTTTAGTAACTGAATGATCTCCACAGTCCCAGGACATAATAAAATTCATCTAGAATACAGATTTTCTAAAGACATTTTCAAATCAGTTAACACATGGCATTCTAGCTAACTGGCTAGACCTCATAATTTTATCTATGTATGAGACGGTCACAGGGACTGATGTGATATTTCTTGCCCCTTAAAATGACCTATGTATGTATTTATTATTTTGTGCTCGTGTGTTTGCCGCAGTGCTTGTGTGACAAGGACAACTTTTGGGAATCAGAACTTTCCTCTGCCATGTGAATTCTAGGATTGAACCTGGGTCATCAGGCCCAGTGAAACCTTACTTGTGAGCCATCTTGTGGTCCTTAGGTATATTTTTTTTATTTCTATGTTTTTCAATTATTGCTAGGTTTATTTTTTATGGCCCACCATTTATATTGTCTAGATTTTGCATATAGACACACATACACACACACACTCTCTCTCTCTCTGTCTCTCTCTCCCTCTCTCTCTCTTTCTGCACCTCTCTTAGCTTCCCTGCTTCTTTTTTTTTTATTAGTTCAAATTAGGAACAAGCTTGCTTCACATGTCAATCCCTTCTCCCTCTCCCTCCCCTCCCCCCACCCAGCTTCCCTGCTTCTTAAGACTTCTAAAACCTTTGAACTCTTCTGTGACCTCTTAACCCTTCACAGCCATTCTGTATTCACACATACACACCTACTGCATGGTGTATAACATACAATCTGAGAGTTAATCTGTTTGCCTTAATCTCCACTATTGTGGGAAGTGGGAACACTGGGCAAACTGCTGCCATTGGAACCTCCATACCTTGTGAATTGGTTGCCACTCAATAAATTCTGACATGTGCAAAGACACAAATGTGTTTGTCTATGTTTCTGACATAGCACAGTCATGGCATTATCTATTTTTGGTTTTTTTGAAATATGGTCTCCCTCTATAGCCTTAGCCTTCCCAGTCCTGGAATTACAGGCATGTACTTCCATGCCCTGCTTGTAAATTCTAAGCCACCAATACAGGTTTCCCAAGACTATTTACTAATTTGGTTTCCAATGGCAGAATAATTTTTTCTATTCATTATAACAATTATGGGACTGGAGAGCGGGCTCGGTGGTCAAGAGGACCTGGGTTCAAGTCTCAGCACAAACATGAGGGAGCCAATGCTCTGTCTGTTATATGTAGGCACTGTATACACATCTACACAAACATAAAAATCAATCTTAAAATTTTTGAGAAAAAGCAGTTGTTCTGAGCAGAAAACAACTTTTTTTTTCCAATAGAAGCACTGAAACCAATTTCAAATGAGTTAAAAATTCACAATGGTATTTAGAATTTTTGTTTTATTTTGAATTAAGAGTTGCCCTACCATTTGGTTATGACTTTAGAATTTTAGATAATTCTTCCATTTTCATTGGCAATTGACTTGGACAATGGTGACTAAGTTTGTCCTAGGAGCAAGTTCAGTGTCATTATGCCAGCAACAAGTCACTGAAGCTATAGCTGGAGTATGAATGCTACTCAACCAGTGTTTTGTCCCCTTGTTAACAAATTACAGAGGTGACTATATCAAACCGGCTGTACCGGAGGGCACTGTTGGGTCATGGTGACTGGTATGGGGTAGGGTAGAAGGAAGTGTTTTTTGTTGATGTTGAGATGCAGGACCCACCCACTATGGGAAAATGTAATACCTTAAGAATGGAGAAACTGGACGTGTGAGCTGGGTCAGTGGCTTGCCCCCAAGCCTGATGATCTGAGTCCAACCCCCAGACCCACATGATGCAAAGAGAGAACAGATTTCACAAGGTTGTCCTCTGTCTATGGCATCTGAACCCATTAAAAAAACAAAAAACGGAGAGAAGGTTTAGGATGTACCGAAGTAGGACCCTTGCCTGAACATTCACCACTGCCCTAAATTCAATCTCCAGTGCTTCAAAAACAAATGAACAAACGAACACAAGAAGAGAGATTCTGAAGAGCCATAGCTGATACTGGAAGATATTGAATGTTGTTGAGTTCTTTGTGATGTGTGAACAGCTAATCAGAAGGCAACCCATAAAAAAATCAATAACTAAGTCATGGTCAGGGAAAGAGAGCTGAAAAAAAAATCTGCTTTGGAACATCTGATGGTGCCATTTAGGTAGGGACAAGGGTGAAGCCAGTATGGCAATGAACTCAGGAATGTCCCTTAGGGATAGGGAGAGTAGCAAAGATCTTTATTAGCTGGGAAGGTGTGAGCATTTTGAGGAAATAAGGTGGTTTGTTTCATCATTATAGAAACATCAGGAATTGCATGTAGTGATTGACAATGAGATCACTTCAGCAGAGACCAAGTAGGAGGTAAGAGGGGAATGGCGATGTTCTCTTAGAAATCTGTTTCAGCACAAGGTGGACTGTTCCTAGAGTAAAGTTCTTTGGTCAAAGAAGTCTCTAAAGAAAGGAAGAACTGCAGGGAAGATTTGATAGGAATTTTGTTTTCTTTTGTGGAGCCAGGATCTCATTCTAGCCCTGGCTGACTTGGAACTCATTCTGAGGCCCAGGTTGGCCTTGAATTCACTGCAGTCAACCCTCATCAGTTTCCCAAGTGTGGCGAGTTAAGGTGTGAGCCCAGACATCTGGCAAGACTGAGATCTTGGAAGACTCTAGTCTGTCGTCCTTAGGGGATATTTTATATTAAGCCTGAAAAATCTTCTCATCTTTGCCCCATGTAAACTGGCATTGTGAACTTTTTTTTTCTTTCCTTCTTAAATTGGTGATGGAATCCAGGCCTTCGGAGGGTTAAGGCAAGTGGGCTACCATTGATCTATAGCTAGAGGTATGGGTCAAATTTGTAAATCTGAAATGCCTGCATTTGGTTTCTGATGTATTGTGGGAAGGTACAATTGTCTTTCTTGACCTTAGTCTCCAAACCTTTGTGTCTTTTTGTTTTTGATGAGACAGGGTCTGGCTTGGAACTTGCTGTGTAGATCAGGCTGACCTGGAACATGCAAGATCCTCGTGCTTCAACCTCTCTAGTGCCTTTCCTGGCTGAAGAGTTTTCCATGTCTGTTTCTCCCCATCCCCCATCATCAGACTTCAGCTTCTTGGATATGAGACTTATTGTGGTCCAATGGCAAGGACAATAGGCTGCCGGCACAGGCTTCCTCTAAAGTCTAAACTAAAGCTTCTGAGTTTATTTTTCATGGCTATTAAGTTTTGACTTAAAGAGTGTGAAAGATAAATTCCTCTTACAACTGAACACGAAGAAACCATTTTTCTCTGCAAACCAGCTCCTACATTTCCTTGTTCTGGTTCTTAATGAGGCAGATTTCAATAGGAAAGCTCATCACTCCTGTGTAAACAGACACAAAGCTTAAGTCGTTTATAACCGACCATTACTTTAAGACCATCTAAAATAATTTTGAATTACACATTTTAAGAGATCGTATATATCTTCTAGAAGTAGCAGGGCATATTCATCATACGTTAATATAGTAATTAAAAACAAGCCCTACTGTTTGAGGAAGTGTTGACTAACGCTTTCGGAATTCCGAAACCTTCACAAGACGAGACGCCTAGCATTAAGTTGGCCGCTGACACAAACGCACGCTCCGGCCCGAATCTTTAAATTTTGGCTCGCACCCACGAACATCGAGGGAAGCATCCCCGGCCGCGGCGGCCCCCTCCTCTTCTGATCTCTCCGTGAAACGTCGAGGAAGCTGGGTGAGTTCGGCTGGGGACATTCTGCCGGCACTGTTTACATTGTGTTCCCGGCCGAACTACAACTCCCAAGATGCACCGTGGTTCCAAAGCCACCGGAGGGGAGGCTTCCGGTTTAAACCAGCACGGCTGCGCACGGGGTGTGGTCTTACTGG